TGGAACCTATTCAAGGTAAAAATAAATGAATGTTCCCTGCGTAATTGTAGTAGCCTAATATATAACAAATGATTAATTAATCCAATTTTTTTTAATAAAGGCTCGCTTTCGTTGGACTCACGCAAACGGTGCTGCTATTCTTAGAGCCTATAATAATAGGATTTCGACCTGGCTTCGGCCAACTTTTAGGCGTGCCTGAAACCGTGCGAGACAGCCTAAATGGGTTTCGGATGAAGTGTGGGCCAACCTTTGTCGCCACTGGTCTTCGGATCCGAAATTCTTGGCCAGAAGTGAAGCCGGTAAGAAAAACCGGATGTCCGAGAAGGCCTTGGAGACGCAGTGGCACGGGGGTTGCAAATCTCAGAGTGCCCATAGAGAAACTCTTGTAAGTTCTATTCAAAAAACCTTACACCATTACAACCCTTCATTATAAAAAATTTACTTAAGCCTTTTTCACACCATGTAGGCTGGTCCTGAGAAGAAGAGGGTTGGAATTCTCAAGCTCGTCAAGCATTGCTGGACGAAGCACAGCGAGGAGTCAGAAGCGGATCTGCCACCCCGCCTCACTGACTTCGAAGTATGTAACATCATATTTTGTTATTTAGTAACATTTCAAATCTAAGTATGTAGCATTTAAAAATATTTTTTTAAATGCAGACGAAGTACAACGAAACCGTTGACAGGCAGCGTGCGGAGCGAGGCTTGACCCAGGAGGACGAGTTCGATTCCGATGCGGATGATGAGGCGGCCATTGAGGCGGCCGGGGTTTACAAGGGTCGGGTTCTGTGCCTGGGGGCCGAGGGGCAACATATTTTGTATGATTGAAGCACCAGCGCTTCCTCTTCTCGATCAAGGTGGGGAGAAGATCCTCGTATTGCCCAAATGCAGCGTGAACTGGAGGAGCACGAACGGCGATTGGGAGGAGCAGCGGAAAAAAAAGGAAGAAACAAAAGCCCGGCTTGAGGAGATGGAACGGTTCATGCGTGCCGGATTCCAGCCTCCGCACCAGCCTTTTCCTCCGCCATACGTATTGCACCCTGAGCAAACTCCTCAAGTTCCGCACATGGGCGGTATGGGGTTTTTCTCTAACTCCGGATACGGTGGCACGCCTACGATGGGTCCGAATTTCGGGTCTATGTCCTTTGATTTTTTGAGGTCATCCGGAGGAGGCAGTGGTACAGTAAGCCATGGACCCCGAGGAGGACCCCGAGGAGGCAGTGGAGGAGGTAGCCGAGGAGGAACCCGGGGAGGAACCCGCCCTGACGCCCCCGTGCAGCAGCCCGAAGACCCCCCCCCCCATGGACCCACAAGATTTTCTTGTTGATGATGATGATGAACAATCTGATAATGAAGATAATCCTAATTTTTATCATAATGGAGTCCGACAATGAACGGGCATGTAATCATACATTTATAAGTTTAACATTTCATATTACATTTATAAGTTTGTCATATTTTTTATTAAGTTTGTTGTATGTGTTTTTTTAATGTTGTAATTGCTTTACCGTTTAAATTGTCTTTTTTCTTTAAAAAAATTAGATTTTAAAGAAAATCTAATACCATATTTTCTGTAAAGAAAATTTAAAATATAATTTTTATTTTTTTTGAAAATATAATCCGAAAAAAACATTTTTTTTTTGAAAAAAACGGAAAAACTTTTTAAAAAAAAAACAAAAAACTTAGTCACGGATTAGTTTTTCGTGACTAAGATTAGTCCGGAATTAATTTTTTTCGCTTAAAAAAAAATATAGTCACGGATTAATGTTCGTGACTACTTCAAAATTTCAAAAAATCAGAACCGCGGTATTTCAAAAATTTTGAAAATTTGAAAAATTAGTCACGGTTGAGTCCGTGACCAAGATGGCGGAATTTTTAAAAATCGGATTATATTAGTCATGGCTAGGTCCGTGACTAGTATATAAAAATAAAAAAATAAAATAGTCACGGCTATGGACCGTGACTACTACGTCGGAGAAGTTTTCCGGCCTATTATTAGTCACGGCTGGCGACCGTGACTAACCCGTGATTACGTTTAGTCACGGTTAATGTGGCAGTGACTATATTTAGTCACGCCCATTAAGTCACGGAATTAGTCACGGCTGGCGACCATGACTACCTCTGTTGGTCACGGAAAATTTGAACTGTCGTCCGTGACTAAGTCCGTGACTACGCGCGTGTTTTTTTTGTAGTGGAGTGTACGTAAATAAATGAGCACTAGCTTGAGTATGAGCTCAATTGAAAGGATTGAAGTTCAAATGTTTATTCAAGGTGATCTTGAGCGCAGTAACGTTTAATTACAATATTACATGACAATAAAGCTACTCTGGCATGAGTGGCATTTATATTATACTACAAGTACATTATATATATTTTGGAATTTATTTAACTGTAGTGTGATTTTCTAAATTTACATTTGATAATTATCGAATTAATTCAACCATTTATTGAATAATTCAGGCTTGAGCTAGCTAATGAAAATAAGATAACTTCTCGTATTTGAACATATTTCTTGAGCTTTATAGAGAATTCAAATAAAAAATTGAACATTGTTGAACCAAATTTGATTATCTTGTTCTAGGCCATCGATCATTTAACTCGAATCTGAGCTCAAACAAATGTTAGGGATTCATTCGCGCCAGTTGATAACATTCCTTCAGTAAAAAAAAAAAAAAATTGGTTACAAATTGCTTTATATTGAGATGAACTTTATAAACTTCTACAAATTGCTTACTATTTAGAAAATAGAGCAGCCACAGCAGCCCTTATCTACATTTGGGTCTATCATGAAAACTTTTGCTTCTAGAGATTCAAATGAAAGGAGATGACTAAAATTATCTCCAACTCACTAAGCTTTAGTCAATTTCAAAGCAATTGAATGAGAAAAGTGCAGCAATTCTCCTAAACAAAATTGAAATCTGGAAACTTACTCATCACTTGGAGAATTCCAACGAAAAAGGAGAAGGTTAACAGAGGCAAAAGTTGGCTAAACCTGAGTTTCAGCCATGTATTACTAGGAGCACGAGGATGGCCGAATTCAATAAACAATCCATGATTAAGGGTATTATTGTCAAAGAAATGTCAATTCTGACAGTGCTTCTAATCTGTTAGCATTTGACGTGGGTGTGGTTATTAGGGGGAGATTAAATCCTTAATCAAAGCTAAAGGGGTAAATAATTGCCTTGTAAAAGTACAAGGTTGAACTAATAATTATGATCAAATTAGAAGGGGCTGATCATCTTTATTTTCCCAATAAATAAACGAATTTGTATATTCATTAAATCATTAATTACATAAATATTATTCCATATTATAAGTTAATAGATACAGATAATTAATGAAATTCTTACGTTGAAAATGTCATTGTAGACTCGTTCTTTGGAGTTATTTTTTATTTTTTTCATCATCACATATCACAAACTTTAAGTCAAACTAATTATAACTTCGGAAAATGCAACATACAATTATTAAATATATGCAAAAAAATATGATAGGTTTTTGTTCCGGTAGCTAGTAAACACCCCTACTTCATGCAATAGTTGATGTACCCAATTGGATCACTATCAATAATTATGGATCACTTGATACCATTTGTACATTTAGCTCTACATATATGCAAAGAAGTCTAATTTAATTAAGTTTGTCATTTTAACAGGTACATGACTTTTGACAATTAACATGATTAAAAGAGAAAACTATCAAATAAGCCCTCGTACTATATACGAAAAGTCAATTAAGTTCATATACTTTAAAAACACTCAGTTTAACCCTTGAACTTTAAAGAAACGCTCAATTACACCCTTTTACCCGGTAACCATCCCGTTTCCCGGTTAACATCTCACGTGGCGGGCCATGTGGCGGCACACGTGGCATTTCCGTTTTGTTTTTCCATCTACTTTTTTTTTCTTTCTATTTTTTTTTTATTTCTTCCTTAGCAATTGTACGCCACACCTTTTCTTCTTTGAGTTCTTTCTTCTTGTACGCCGAGTCGCTGACTGCTCCCATTCTTCACAGCACCCCGGTCAGGCAACAATCAAGGAGCAACTTCACCGGGAATCGAGCAGAGATGAAGGCGATGGCGGCCGTCTCCACTATTGGAGCATACTGCCCATCGGACTCGTCCTCAACGTGCCGGAAATTTCATCGCAGCCGGAATTCCATTCGAGCAGTGCAGATGCCGTTCTCCATGCCGTCCTCCATTGCCGTTCTCCAGCCGGACTCTCAAAATTGGTGCCAAAATCCGCCGGAGTTTAACCATCAGCATCGCCGTCCTCCATTTCACACAAATTCTGAGACATGCGACCACTAAGAGAAAGAAAAGGGGCGGCAGGTGGCTGGGGCCCTAAAGAGAAAAGAGGGTTTATAAAATTGCAGACTTGTGGCATGCCACGTGGCCGCCACGTGAGCAGTTAACCGGGAAACCGGTTTTTAACCGGCCAGCAGGGCTTAATTGAACGTTTTTCAGAAGTTCGAGGGTTTATTAATTGGGTGTTTCAAAGTATGAGGGTTTAATTGACTTTTTTGCAACCAATTTGAGAATTGTGTTTTGAATTAATTAATTCAGACACGTAATGTAAAATATGTTATTGCAGTAAAAAGAGATTCTCTTCATAATCAATAAAGTTATAGTCATTTTGCATTAAATTACAAAAAAGTAACCAATACGGAGTACTCCGTATTATGTATTGTTACTAGAATTACACATGTGCGTGGTACGAGATTTAATTTACATACACTCTAAATGTAAATAAATAAACACATTTATGAATTTGTATATTCATTAAATCATTAATTACATAAATATTACTCCATATTAAGTTTAATAAATACAGACATTGAAATTCTTACGATGAAAATGTCATTGTAGACTACGTTCTTTGGATTTATTTTTTATTTCCTTCATCATCACATATCACAAACTCTAAGCCATGCAAATTATAACTTTCGAAAATGAAACATACAAATATTCAATATATGCAAAAAAAATATGATAGGTTCTTGTTCGGGTAGCTAGTAGCTAGTAAACTCTCCTACTTCATTCAATAGTTGATGTACCCAATTGGACCACTATCAATAATCACGAATCACTTGATACCATTAGTACATTTACCTCTACGTATATGCAAAGAAGTCTAATTTAAGTAATTAAGTTTGTCATTTTAATACGTATACATGTTTGTAACCAGTTTGAGAAATGTGTCTTGAACTAATTAATTCAGACACGTAATGTAAAATATGTTAGCTAGCTAGGTGAGGAGGGATGAGAAGATGTTGGGCGGAAAGCAAGTTAAGTTGTTTGAGAAGAGGAGTCAATGTGTGCATAAGTTGCTCACAAGGATGATTGTGGATGCCTTCGTAAGTAGTAACCACGATGCTCCTATCCTTCGACAGCCGCTGGATTTGTTTCTTCACATTGCATGTGTGATTTGTGCACCTATAATAACTCCTGAGCAACATATATATTCACTTTCATACAAGATATCACCATTATTTAGGACCAGAGGAAGTATTCTATTAATAAATAAATAAATAATTATATGTGAAAATAGCTAAAATATTCATCCACAGTAACTTCAGCTAATACAGTTAGAAAAGTAAGTTCAACCTTACTTGTTCTTATTATTACTCAATTCAGCGTGTGAAATCAAAAGTTACGTGTTTAGTGAAAAAGTTAGCTGATAAGCCGAAAAACAGGGTTATCAAACGCCCACTTAAAAATGTCCGCCTAGGGTATTGTTAAAATTGATTTTTTGATTGTGGTATTGCCTTTTTGTTCATCGTGTATATGCCATATTTAAAACTTTGATTCTTATATGGTGTGTTTATATTCATGTTATCCCTTTTTATGACTTTGTCCGCCTAGGGCTTCTAAACCACTGGAGTCGGCCCTATCTGGGTTAAACTCTCTCTGCCTGGCCCATGAAGCTTGACCAAATTGATTTGTACATAAAATAATAAAGTAAAAAAGTTTTAGTTGAGATTTTTGCAGATGAGAGAATTAAATAACTTTAATTACTTATTTACTACTTTAAATGAAAATGGTAAACTTTTTTCCGCCAACTAAATAAGGAAATTTGATAAAATTCTATAGAGGGTTAAAATAATACGGAGAGTTAAAAAGTTCTATCACCTTCATGCTCTTCATTAATGATTTTCTTATCTTTCATTATTGTGACTTATAATTACTATATATATTTTTGGTAAATTTTTTAATATAAAGTTATCCTTATACTCTTACTTTATTACCTAGCTACTTTACACTTATTTTCTCTCCCACTACACATAATATACTTTTTGTGATGGCGTGATGGGAAAGTCAAAAGCAAAAAAATCCACTTTCTTAACGACCGTAAAGTCAAACTATGAAGATATTTAGGACTGAAGGGTGTATTTTTTTTAAGGACTCCATATATATTTATAATGTCTATAATACAAGGATTAAATATGTTTTGATTGTCCGTGTGAATATTACACACTTTGCTTTAGATCCCTATTTTTTTATGTTTTTCATCCTTGTAAGACTATTTGGAGTGGTGTAGGATTAGGAGTCCAAAATGTCAAAGATAAAATTTTTGAACTCCTAATTCCTTGTAGTGGTAGGCTATAATGGGGAGTAAAAATGGGAAAAGGGGTGGAGAGGGGTAAATATAGAGGGGGAGTTGGCAGTGTGAAAGAAAAAGAAAAAGAAAAGAAAGACAGGGAGGGGGGCTGGGTGGTGCACTGTGCGCAGAGGGAAAATGGGAGAAGGGGACGGCTGGCCGGGTTCAGCTCCACTCCATTTCCCTTCCATTTCTTTTTTACTTTCTATCTATCTCTACCTTTTTCTCTATCATACTCACCAACCTATTTCACCCTTAATTTTATCGTCTTTGTTTCTTTCCAAATGGAACGCTCCAATCATGGGAGAGGATCCAAATTCCGGTTGGCAGCGATAAGCAAAGTTATTTAGAGCACGGATCCTCTCCAGTAACTGGATGCTTCCAGTTGGAGAGAGATAGAGAGGAGGGAAATTGTGGTGGGGTATGTTGGTGAGTAAGATAGAGAAAAAGGTAGAGTTAGATAGGAAGAAAAAAAGAAATGAATAGGAAATGGAGAGGAAAAAATGGAGAGGAGTTGGACTCAGTTATTTAGGCCTGGGCGACGTCAATGTGATATCATTAAATCATAATTGTTTTAAAACTCTTATAACTTTTTGATTTTTTATCCAAATTTCTTAAAAAATATATCAAAGTTCATGAATTTTTATAATCTCTCATATGACACCAATATGTAAATGAAAAAAACTGAAGTTTTAACTGTTAAAGTTTTCTTGAGCCCAAAATTACATGAAACACAAAATTTTAATTCATGTATCCTCCACAAATGACTTAATATTCCACAATCGAACCTTACGTGAACTCAGTTCATTATTCGTTAATTAAAAAATGTAAAAAATTTAATAAAATTTATTTATTTTTACATCAAAATGTGTATTTTTTAGTTCATAATTGTTTAAATTAGGAAAAAAATCAAACGGAAAACATTACATTAAACAATTTAATATATATTTTATAAATTGATATGCAAAAAAAAATGCAAGGGGCAGAGAAATATGAGTCGTCAAAACAATGTTTTCAAATAAATGGGATTCATTTTTGACATTATGCCCTCCACACCACTCCAAATGAAATGGTCTAATATGCATTATTTTATTTTTAGCCTATCTCCTACTCATAAAACACTCAACTTGGAATATTAGTTATCACCAATTGCATAGATCTACTAGAAATTTTTAAATTTATTCTTTTATAATTTTTAAGGCTAATATGAGTTAAAACAGTGTAAAAGTAATTATTCACATTTTTAAAATATGTATTTAAAACCTTCTAATTAAAAAATAATACTAGATACTTAGTACTTTTGAATAATCTTCTAAAACTAAATGTTTTAGTTGGGGTTGTTTACTTGTTTTGTTGTCAAACGAAACCTTTCAATTACTCAGGCATATTACTCCATGTACGCAGAACCACAATATATCTTTCCACTTTTCTTTTTCAACTATAACATTCATATCTTCTCATTTCTAAATCTTCCTATCGCAGTCTCAGTAATTCGAAAACAATATACTATTACAATTACATTTTTTTGAAATTATCTTTCATTCCAACACATTATTTTATTATATTCTCATCATATCTTCAATAAAACTTATATCACCATTTACTATTTATAATCTCACCTACTTTTAAATGGAAGGATATGAATGTTACGGATAGTACTTTGATCTATTTTTAAGGGAAAGTTCCCAAAATATGACTAAAACAGTTTGAAAATTCCAAAATAGGACTGACATGTTTTTATTCCCAAAATAGGAGTAATTACTGCCAAGTTTGGAAAATACTGCCATATTTGAAGTCTGGTACTGCCAAAACATGACAGTAATTAGTCCTACTTTGGGAATAAAAACATGACACTCGTATTTTTGGAATTTTAAAATCCTTTTAGTCCTATTTCGGGTAATATATCATTTTTTAAATATCAAAATAGAAACTTACAAAAGAAGGAAGTGATATACTCCGTATGCTAAAGATTAGAGATGAGATTACAGAAATACCTGGGATGGGAACTGTTTTTCACAATTTTTTGCCCATATTTTCTCCATTTGTAGCCATCATCCAGAATATCCTCACTGCTCCTTGTATGGAACGCAACTCTCGACGGATATTTCCTTTTACTCTTACAACTGGCTGCTTGCTGCTTCTTCCCTTCATCATTATTATTTCCGTTTTCACTGCAGATATGATCCTTAAATATCAGCGCCAGCTGGTTCGGATCCACCCAACCCAAAAGCAGCTGCACTGCCCAATCCATATCCGACCCAATCAACTCATGAGCAGAGTTCGTCGTCATCGCCGGTTGCAAAGACGGCGGAATGAATGGGAAGAGCTGCGGCAGCTGGCTGCCGACCTCCGGTATCAACGGCGACACCAAAGGCTGTAACTCATCTCCTTCCATGGCGGATTGTCAACTCGCGTTTGGAGGACTGCATGGATATATATATTTATATATGTTCAAGTAGAAGTAGGTGATGGGCGTTGGACGAATTTGTATGCTCGCCAAAACAGAGTATTTTATTAATTTAATTTAATCTTTAATTTTTTTATCTTTATTAGAACCCGTTTGGTGATCATGTATGTAAGCTATTAGAGAACTTCATCAAATAATTAACTTTTGACTTTGTGCACTAAATTGTGTAATAAGAATAATAAAAATAGGTGACAACTCCGGTACCCTTTTAAAGATTGGGATACCGTGCCTACCATGCATTTGATTGGTCCAAATCATTCTATTCTTTTTCATTTAGATTTAATTAATTCAACTACATTATTTCTATTGGTCCATGTGAATAAAGGTACGGTACCTTAAGGGTATCATAGAATCTACCATAAAAATAAGTACGATTGAAGTTACTTTTCATTGAATTAACTTAAGTGATTATAAACCAAGCATTTCAGCCTAGCTGGTTGTGAGGTTACCGTGCCTAGTGGGAGGTCTCGAGTTCGAATCCCGCTAGACACATAACGGTTTGAAACCCAATGTAGTGATTGTAGATGATCATTTTAGTTATTTTTAATATAATTTTTCCTTACTTCTTTAAGAAAATATATTTTACATACTTCGTATATCATACATCGGCATAATAAGCCAATTCAGCTACTCCAGTCACTCAGTCAGAACTTCATAAACTTGAGCAAAGTCAACCCAATCAGTCAATTTCAGTATTATTAAATGGGCTAGTGAGTATGTGTTAGCATTTCATTTTATGAATTTGTATTGTTATTTTTCACACTTAATTTAGTCAATTTTTTCACACTTAATTTTTTTAATAAATATTTCCAACTTATTGTATTATCTGTTCTATTAAGGCTAACATCCTTGAACTGGGATGATATTCGAACCTGTGACCTTCTCTTTGGAAGTGTCACGGTGATGTCATCAGACCACAAGGTATTTGGCTTCTCACACTTAAATCTTTATGGTATCCCTTTGGTTCCTTATCTATAAACAGGGACTCTATTTCTACAAATATTGGAAGCTCACATTCACTCAAATATAATACGGTGGAAAAGGGTCAAATATGCCCTCGAACTTATGTAAAAAGATCAAATAAGCCCTTATAGAGGATGCTCTGTCCGGCCGTCGCCATTTGGAGCTGTTTCCGGTAGAATTTTGTGATGAAATTTTTTTATTATCTTATTCATTAAGTCTTGTTTACTCCTACCAAATTTCAGCTAAAACTTCAAGCAGGAAGGCATTCTAATGAATTCTTGAAGATAACTGTGCAAATTTCAGCAGAATCAGCCAATACAACCACTTCAATCACAACTTCTTAAATTTCAGCAGAATTAGTCAATTCAATCAATTCTAGGATTTCCAGTATTACCAAACAGGCTCTATATTAGATGAAATAGATTGAATACACTAAAATGGTTACAACTGTATTTGGAATATTGCGAAGGGAATTACCGTCTGTTATAAGGATTATATGTGATGGATTTGGAAGAATCAATTATCTCAGACTATAGCTAGGAACTACCTTTCTTTGACTCTTCCATACCCTTCAATTCACCCAAATCAAACTAAAATAGAAGCCGTTCAGACTTCAGAGCCCATAATCCGTTGAACTGCACTTAAATGCATTACCCACACCGGCGGCATTATGGATTTTGAAGGGTTTTTAATTTCAGGTGGAAACGTTAGGTTTAAAATCTAAGATGTAGGATTGTTATGTCTTCTAATAAGATCTGGCTAGAGTTGTCTTTCCTCTCACACTTTAAATTGAAACTGAAGGTTCCAAGTTCTAGATTGATAGGAAAGACACTCTTGTCGTTATTTATTACGGCGTAACAAAAAAATACCTTCTCACTTTTCTTTTTCGTTTGTAACAAAAAAAATCTTCTTATTTCTAAATCTTCCTATCATACTCTCAATAATTCTTAAAATTATACATTATTACAATTACTTTTTTTTGGATATATCCTACATTCCATCACATTATTCCACTATCTTCCCATTATACCCTCAATAATTTATATCTTATTTCACTATTCTTAATCTACCTACTTTTGAAATGAGAAGATTTTAAAGTTACGGAAGGAGTATCATTCATTTTTTTTTCTTTTTTTTTTGCATAATCACATATAGGGATGGTAATTGTAATTGATCCGATGATACATGCATCGAACCACTTCAGGCAAAATGAGGATAATCGCATTGACCGAGTAACAGAGCGATTACGGTTTTATACATACATACCCGCCTCGTTTTTTTTTATTACTCCGGGGTCTGGGGGGGGGTCTGATAGGAAAGATATTTTTTGTTAGATGTTATTTATTACTAGTACTACATATCATTCATTTTTTTTTTGCATAATTACATATAGGGATGGTAATTGTAACTGATCTGATGATACATACATCGAACCACTTCGGTCAAAATGAGGACTATCGCATTGACCGAGTAACAGAGCGGTTACGGTTTTATACATACATACTGACGTGCACTTTGTCGTGTGTGCACTCAAAATAATATTCAATACTAACACTTATACGTAGTATAGCGTAGTAGAGTTCGTATCCACAGGGAAAGGAAATAATTCTCTTTGTATAAAACTAGTAAATAAAGGGGGGTTTTGATTGAGTGATTTGATTAAAATTAAACACGAAGATGAACAAGTTATATGGGTTTTAATTCAAAGATAAAAGGGACTTGGCATTGCTACTTTACACTTGTTGATATATTTTAGTCGATCATTGTTATATCTATAACTTATCTCCTCTCAAATACTCAATCGAGGAGTATATCCAATTCATCGAGAGTAGTTATTAACAACGACCGTTCATTAATAACCCTTACTATTAGTCAAGTATAGAAAAACGCCATATACCGACTTCATAGTAGCATTTAATCTTTTAACTCCTAGATGAAATCAATTGAGATTGATAACATCAACACAACGGTTTCGATTTAACCAACAAAATTAATCTCTCTTAAGTTTATTAACCACGACCGTGCATTAATAAACCGAAGTTACTTACTTGTGAAGGCATCAACGATTAACCATCGGTTCATTGATCGTTTCTAGTAATAATTAATTTGTGAAACAAAACTAGTTGATCCTTTAAGTAATGTTCAAAATATTAATATGAAATATGAATAGGGATTAATTAATACTCAAGGAAGAATATTAAAGAAGATGAATCCTACTATAGTTAATATCAAGATGTTAACTAATTGTCATCTTAGTAACACTCCCCAACATTGATATAGAAATAGTATTTAAAGGAAGAATTAATATTCAAGGAAAGAAGTTAAGAAAATAACTCACAACTTTAATAATCAACAAGCTTCAAGAGCAACACCAAGAAATGGAAGTTTAGCTCCTCATTTGGAGACTAAACATGCTAGAAGAAATATAAAGAAATGCTATTCTAAACTGAGCTTAAGAGTATAAAAGAATTGGTGTCTAATTGTGAAGGAAAGGGGGTGTATTTATAGGCTTTTTAGAGGTGCAGCTCGAGTACTCGATCGGGTATATACAGGTACCCGATCGAGTATGTGTAGAAACTCGAATTCAAACCATACTCGACCGAATTCAGAGTATTATTTATATATAAACCCGGTCGAGTATGTCGGTGTACCCGATCGGGTATAGACACTCGATCGTAGTCACAATCTTTCTTGCATGTTCCTTTGTATTCGGATCCGATTCGATTTGAAATTTCAACAAGATACCCGATCGAGTATAGGTGATACCCGACCGGGTATAGACCAAAAAATCATGATCTTCCCTTTGTCTTGTGATTTTGCACCTTCCTTCCACTTTTGGGGTTCACCAACTGTCCTTTGAGTGATAGTAGACCTGTTTAAGCTTAGAATGATCCTAATCTAAATGAATTACAACTAAATTACAAACATAACTATTACACCAAAAGTGTGTAATTTCCGAAATATTAAACAACCAAAACTAACTAAAAACGTAAACATACACATGGAAATTACACGCGTATCACATACCCGCCTCGTTTATTTATTTATTTATTTTTTACTCCAGGGTCTGGGGAGGGGGCCTGGGGGCCTAGAGAAATCAGGGCTGGAACTCACTCCATGAGTTTCGAACCCTTGTGTGTCTAGCGGGTTTCGAACTTGAGAACTCCCACTAGGCATGATAACCTCACAACCAGCTGGGCTGGAATGCTTGGTTACCCGCCCAGTTTATTCTTACTTATATTTTTATTACATTCTTTCTATTATTTGTCCCACAATTAATAAAAGATCATATTTTCATTGTGTATATATGCATGTACTAATTGAAAGTTCATAATAGACTTTAATAGTCTCGTTTGGTTATTATCTATTTTTACTTGAATAATTATTTTTCAATTTAAGTATTTTTATGTTCAATTAATTTAGATTGTCTTCTTTCTTGTCTTGTAGATGCACAGAACTTTTATATGACATCTCACGTCGAGAGTCATCTAGGCCATGTCACTTTTTTGTCTTTTAAAATAAGGCGAAATTGACATCAATAATCCATACTTTTACACATTTTACAAAAATAATCTCTACTTGAAAAGTTCACAATAATAATCCCAACTAGATCGGATTGATTTTCCGATTCCAATTCTGGTCTTCTGGAGAGAATCATGTCCAGTCATAAAACCAACTATTTGAGATTTGATCTGGTTTCGGAACTGGAACTGAGTCTACCGTAAACGATATGGATTGGATTGTATGTTACAAAGTTATTACGGAGTACTTCATTATCAAATTAATTCATTACTCGGAGATAAAGGCCAACTATTTTTTACCTAATGGAACCAGCTCAACTGCTTTGCTAGAAAAGGCTAAACGTGCTAATTTCACGTTATTACTTACCCACTAAGTTCTTTTCTGTTTTCCCCTTCTTTTGTTATTTGAGGCTTTGAGCATTTGACCATTTCGTTATCACATTGTTCAACCTCTTATCTTCCTACTTTCTTTCGTTTTCTCCTTGTATTCATACTCTTCCTACAGTACTGGCATTATCTTCAAGTAATTATCTTGTGAAAAAATTACAGAGGCATCTATTTGAGAGCATGATTATTATGGATTAATTAGTATGGTTTAATAGATTTGAGCAAACAAGAACACTCCTATTTATAGGGAAAATAAGAAAATGCTGGAAGACATTTGCATGTTGCCCATGACTCTGCAGGATGATACACCATGAAGGGCCGTACAAAGGATTTTTCAAAATACATTTTATATAGTTTTTAACACTACAAATAGAAGCATTTCTAAAATTTGAAGCAGAGTAGGGCCTAGCTAGTATGTCCCCCTAGCTACGCCCCTGCATGCCACTTCATAATACCACGGAGTGGGTGATGGTGTGGGTAAAGGAGCTGGAAGTCCTATGGTTTTGGGGGAGATTACTTAATACCAACTCCAGTTCAGACAAATTTACACAAATAAAACACTATCATAAGCTTCAATTTACGATGTCTTCGTTATTGAGAAAACTACATTTTGTTGAACTTGTTCTCCATACGAACATTCCAACTCTAGAATGAATGTTTTCATATGATGCATGTGACACTCGAATGTTTTAGAGTATTAAGTTGGCAAGGAGTCTCAACTAAGATTTACTGGTGTCAACTCAAATACTAGTTGGATATTGCGCTAAAGGTGGTTCAATGTTTGAAGAGCAATCCTGCACAAGAGTGTTTTATTATATTAAAATGAAGGTGAATTGCAATTTTGTGGGTAGTGAGACAAATTGAGCAATGATCTCCCCTAACGTGTTGCTTCGTATATCTCGACATTGTCTGCACTGTCTCAGAAAACAAAGAAGCAATATATGGTGATTGTGTCATCAATAGAGGCCAAACAAACAGGACTCCTAGGGTTGAAGGGATTGCATGGAGTCCTTGACTCCTTGGGTTGATTACTCAATTAATCGGCTCACATGCAAAAAAAATTCTTACAAAATTTTTTAGTGTGTCAATGGAGTAATCATTTTGCAAGTCATGTTTTGACCCATGTTTAGAGAGCAAACACACTAGTTTTTGGGCAGAAAAAAGTTCATCTTTTGGTAACTAAAGATGGACACTTATCAGTTTCATCCTCCAATCTGAAAGGTTAATAAATCATTATTAATCATTATTAATGAATTTCATTATACAGACTGCTGCTCTTTGTTATACACTTATACATATAACTATAAGGGTAAAAGAATGAGATGTAACAGTGTCTTGTTAAGGACTTGCAAATAGAAGTATATATAATTGAGGTGCAAGAGCATTTGCAGGACTCTTCAATATATTATCTCAGCAACCCAAAATATGAGGAATATCTTTTGCTCCCATCACCTAAATTTGGGAATAGTGAAATTACACGCAAATAAAGATAAGTGGAATCCTATGCTTGATATTGATAATGCAAAAATATTGATCATTACAAACCAAATAAATAAGACCAAACATATGTGTGTTTAAATACTTCAGTGGATTTCATTTGGCTACGGCTAATCACAAAAATCTAAAACTATAGACGATATATTCCTTTCTTTTGACGTGTGATATTTATAAATAAAGGAGCAAAAATGGAAACATTCTATACGGTTTCATCCTGTAGATGAGTGGTTTACCAAGGAAGCAGATGCATGACCAACTCTGTTAGCAATGAGGGCTTGTAATTGGGGCGAGACATTAGCTGGTGTGTTGGACTGAGCTCGCGGCTGATGATGTATGAGGTACTGGTTAAGTGCATCATCATAAGCTTGTCCCGATAGGCTACCACGCATACGGCTCGCAGGCCTCCAGTCTGTCGAATCAACAGGTACTCGGCCCACTATGTTCCCGCTTTGATCACCTCGTGTTGGGTTCACTAAAGGAGGACGAGGAGCATGCATGCTGTGCTGGAAAGCACCATTTGACCGACCAATCCCACTTGAAACATATGATTGAGCAGGGGCCCGTTGAGATTGACTAGTCAAATAGGGTGTCCTCTGACTTGAGTTTAATTGTTGAGTGGGGTGAGCAGAAGAAGGGAATGAACAGTGTAGCTGCTGCAACTCATGGAGAGTATTCACATTATAAGGGATTGTGGGAAACTGCTGGTGCATTCCATAGCTAAACGGAGAATTTGGTGAATTACAAAATTGGGGCCAGTGTAAGGGTAAGGTATTTCTGGGAGAAGGCCCTCCAACCCCACCATGTATCATAGAGGCTGGAATACTATTAGTGGTCTGCTGATTTGGTGCACTACCCAAACCAAATGTGGAGAGAAAAGTTGTTGACCAGAAATGATCCCCGACAATGTTGAATGGATAGTAGTTTGTGCAAGGTTGACCTTGGTATTTGGTTTGTGATTCTTTTTGGTCCACAATTTCCTCCTCTGTACCCTTTTCATTATTGTCTAATGCAGTGAGATCCAAAATATCTACGTGTGGGTTAGAATATGGCGGCACCATTTCACCCTCTGCAAATTCGGGGCTTGTATCCGGCATCTTTTTGTTACTATTATTATTGGGATGATTATGATGCTCACCATCACTTTCCATAATTGCCTTCCATGAACCATCTGAATAGATTATCACATCAGTGACATTCTCTGCGACTTCTTTCAAAACCTTCAAGATATAAAAAAACATCTGTTACTAAGAAAACAGGACAATTTCCATCAGACACAAGCGCACTTAAACACCAAATATTCCATTGTTGGTCCCTTTACTATAAATATTCTTCCTACTTTTGATCTCCAATTTTTATTCTTCCACTTTTGTCATAACTATAGGTTTTTTTCAGTTGTGGTCCTGACCATTTTTCCAGTTGATTTCCCTACAACTTTCAGTTGATTTTTTCCGGAGATAAAGTGACAGAAAAACATTCTCATGCACCAAAAAGAGGAAAAAATGAAAGTTATGGAATGATAATGAGAATGACGTAGTAGGTCACAGGACCAAAGAAGGAAATTTTTCTGCACTCCAGTACATGCATGTACGTATGGATAGTGTGTGTATCAAGATATTCACTTGCCTTGAAAATAGATTGATCAACACGGATGTCAGTGAAGCATACATGCTGATTGCAATGAGGGCAACGCCAGGATGGTCTTTTAGAATTTATGCTCACATAGTTGTCATAATCAAAGCACTAGAAATAACACTTGTTCAGTTAAATCTAATCATAGAAATGAAAATGATGAGGAACTGGAATTTTATCAATTGAGGACTTGAGAGATAGATGAATTATCAATCCGGGACCTGAAAGATGAAACGTATCGATACAGGACCCGGATGATGGAAAACTATCAATTTAGGACCTGAATGATTCAAAATTGTCAATCTAGTACCTAAGTTGTCATGAATTTTATTAATTTTTTTATTTTAAAATTTTTAAAATTATTTATTTTTATGAATCTAATAAACTTTTGTGAAGAAAAGTTTGTCAAAAATTAGCAATGAAACTAATAAAAAATTAAATAAATCAAAACCCATGAAATCTTAGGTCCTAGATTTATAGTTTTTCATCATTCGGGTCCTATACCGATACATCTCATATTTCGGGTCCCTAATTAATAATTCATCTATCTTTCAGGTCCTGAATTGATAAAATTCCTTAAATAAAAGACTTCAAAAGAATAATTCAAATTCTAAAGTTATCAATAGATTGTATATAGCATATAGGAAGTATAGCATTCAATGGGTTGTTGCCTATTGATCCAGATCATAATTTTGAAAGTCTACTAGATTAGTGCTTAATGGACATGATTAATCTAATTAACTCACTGCAATGCTCTCTCTCACCTTAAGATGTTTGCATGAGTGGCCTTTAATAGGAGTCTTGATACGCTTGAAGCTGTTTGAGGTGAGAAAAAATTATGAGCAGAAACACTAAAATGTTGCCAGTTGGCATATCATTATATCAAGAAAAGAAACTTACCCTATTGAGCAGGAAAAAAAGAACGTATAAAACAAATTAAAAATTCTAGTACCTTTTGGTACCAGTCAACCTAGGATAACATTTTGAGGGAGACTTTACTATACTTTACACTCACTATATGGTGAAGTTAAAACTGTAAACTTTTTCACGAACTGTCATCCTAGGTGTGTACTAAAAAAACGGATGCATGTCATTACTGATTACTCATTCAGAAAAGCTCATACATAACTTCCTTCCTTAAATCATTTGTATCTAATGCACCTAAAAGATCTTTTGGTATCATAAAAGATAAATCTATATTTTGAGTGCATGACCACCCAACATTTAAATAACTTGTCCATGGGGATAATGACAAATGACAATCATGAGGGTTCGATAAATTTCAGTACAAATCGGCCAAAATATTTTTTTATCTATACCAGATTACTAGCACACTTCCATCATTTGCAATGGAGCCAAAGACTCGCTATTTTTTGGCTTGGGAATATGATGGAATAAAGCAAAATGGCTCACTAAGCTGTCTGCGCTTCTTTGTTATGAAGCAGCAGTCAGTCCATGTAATTTTCAACGCGATTTTCACTATGGGTCATCCGGAAACAGACTCTCTGTGGTTTACTAGACTCTCTGTGCTTTACTACAGGGGTAAGACTGCGTACATCCGACCCCCCCCCCCCCCACCTCACCGAAGGTGGGAGCCTTTGTGGCATTGGGGTAATGATGATGAATGAATGATGATGACCAGATTACCAGCACATTTGAATTAAAAAAAATGAGGGAACACAGCATACCTTATGGGACAGTTGAGGGATATTCTTGATGGTCCCACAATTATATCCAGTTCTACAGTATGAAAAGGACGGCAGTTGTCAGTACTGGTCTTACAGTTTGGTAGTAGTAGTAAGTTAGAGAGTTGTGAAGTTGACAGACAAATTCACAATGTGTGCATGTAGTATTCTACTATATCACAGCTATTATTGGGTTTATCTAACTTTAATATTCACCTATAAGAATGCAGAAATATGTGTTTTACTAATAATCCTCAACGAACAATGAGTTGAATGATCATAGGTAATCAAGACTCCAAAACTTGGTACACTAATATTTGGCCTACCAGGATCTTCCAAAGCAGGAGCAGGCAGCACATAATTTTGAAGGGTGGCAGGATCTGGAGTTGACATCATGCTAATATATGCAACAACGATGATGTATTTTCCTTCAAAATGATGAGCAATATTGTAAGTTTTAGGACATGTGCACTTGGACTTATTTCAATCCCAGACCAGGCTAAATGAGACTAGGGCACTAGGCTTAAACAGAACAGGCCAAACCAGACCAATTCAGACCAAAAAATTACCATCCAAATGATCTGGTCCTTAAAGACATTACAATAAAAAAGGAGAAATGCAGCGTAGAAAATTCTCTGGTCATACCGTTAAACTCGCCTACAGCTTGAAGAAGATTTGCTCCACACTCAAGCATATTTGAGATCAGTGTTGGAGCTTGAGGTCCAGAGTCCTAGTCAAACACAAATATCATTTAGCCTTTACATTTCAAAGGCATTAGATCATCATTGGATATTAAAACGGAGCAGACCATAAATCCTGCTGTTCGCTTTTTAACTGCACTCCCGTTGATGAGAAAGCTGAAAAACAAAGCATGTAAATATCAGAGCAGTCATATAACTGACTGATGGATAAAATACTATATGGGAAGGATTCCGTACTTCACTTGAGGGGGGCTTAGGAGACAAGACGATGACTCCATATTATCTGTTTGGGCTACAAGTAACATCTGCAGGTAAAAAGCAGAGACAGGGTTGTTTTCAAATATCAGAAAACATGTTCCAAGTTTTGTAAATTTGTATTTATGTACTGTGTAAGGGGACACAGCACATAAAACAACAGCTCACTGCTGCAAGTCTTTTTAACCCTGTGAAGTGAAGATTTAATTGAAGATAGAAAACGAGAATGACAAGCACAGAAAGCTACCAGAGACTAGCCTGTGCGTATTGTATATGAAACAAGCCTGTAAGCATTTCCAAATTGCACCAAATTTATTATTAAACATAAGATTAGAATAAGCTTTAATTTTAGTACTTCGACTACTGCAAATTTCAACTTTGATTTCTTCCGTTTTTAGTCATCAACTTTCAAAACGTTACACTTATAGCGAAATGTCCCGAAATACAGTAAGATGCATATTTATAGAATTTTCACATTGTGAGGGCATTAAAGCACTTTAAACATGCAGAACACAAATCACAAGACTTTTTAAAGATTGGAACTAAAAATGGAAGAAGCAAAGTTTAGGACGAAAAATTAAACAAACCATAGCTGAAGGACCAAAAGAGGAATTCAATCTAAGAGTAAAGATATCATTATGAAGAGTGAATACAATTCCAAAACAATCGCAAAAAGAAAGAACAAAACATAAGTTCAAAGAATGTAAGAAAATCAAATAACTTAATGCAGTATCTAACCTTAAGATACAATGTCAGTAAAAATGAATATGCAAATAGCACTAAAAGGGAACCCACCCAGACACTCAAGCTTATTGGTACAAGTTATTTGATCAACTCAAGAACTACTTAGGCAAACTCATTTATAAAGATTAAAAATATTAGTCCAAACATAAATTGATGCAGGTTCTCACTATCTTCTCTTCGGGAGAAAATTCCACATCCCTCGCTATGTGAAAGGCATTCACAAATGCACCAAATCCTGGCTATAAACAATGTAAAAGTTGCATTAGAGCCAAACCAACTCAAACTACAGCCCAAACACACACAAAACTAGGAAAAAACTTGCACAAATAGGTGATTGGAATACATGAGTACCTTGACTTCTAGAAAGGCGAGTATCTGACCCATTTTCGTTGTGGGGAAAAATCTGCCCAATACAAAGTTTCAAACACCTCACGTTCAATAGTATCTTATTTTCCAAGATAATTTCCAAGATAATTATAGAAGAATAATTGCAAATATAGAGCATTCTAATAAGCAATAACTGAAGGGAAAGTGAAGCAAATTCATGAACTTTGTGTTATGAGCATGGTTGAGCTGAAGCAAGACTGGACATACATCATATCCACAATTATAAGATGGATAGTACTTCAACTCTCCACCCTATAATTGGTCAAACTGACTTTTCTTTTACTTTTTCTAATAAAATTTTAATACTGGAATATATTTTAAAAAACTCAACTTAGGTGTTTGCTTTGAATGCACTTTTAGTTTTTAAGTGTATAAATTGAATAAGTTCATATATAATTATATATTATGAGAATTACAGTGCATAGTGTAAATAACTTGACCAATCCTCATTATCGAAACAAACCTTATAATTTGGGATGGACAGAGTAAGCAATAAAATTATAGACTAAATGCTACTCCGTACAATATTATGCATGTAATGTATTTAGATACATCATCAAATAATCAGCCTACATGCAAAGAGAGTATATGGAAATGTTAACCTTGTCATAATTGTTGAGATAATGGACAGAGAACCACTAGCCTCACTTTTAAAATCTGTAGTACTGCAGATGTTACTAGATATCTGAACATGCACATAACAATTATCATGTATAAATAAATATGAAGGAAAAATTACATTTTAGCCCCTCAGTTATAGTGTAATTCCTGATTTGGCCCCTCGGTCATAGGTGTCACAAATTTATGTCCCTCGATAGTTAGATGACATTGTGACTTCCGAGTATAGTCATTTTGTTAATTTCCCGTTAAATCCTAACAGAAAAGGACTAGAAGCATATCTTATAGAATTGTAACTATTGCAAGACTTCAATGCAATTTTCCACAAGGTTAAAATGTTAAATTTCAAAACATGAACTGTACTACTCCATATTTGCATAAAGACAATGTATCTTTTTTTCCATAAAATGCAGGGTGATGATTTTTTTCAAATTTTACACTACAACCAAAAAGTTAATACTTGTGCAAATGTGGAATTTCTTCTAAATCATCAATCGTTATATCAATTTCATTTTGAAGGACAATACTTGTGATCAAATCTTCTTCCATTATGAGAACTATTCTTTTATTTTCTTTTTGTGCTCCAAATCCCTCCAATTATTACAATTGTGGACATTGCGTTTTTGGCCCCTGCCTTTAAGATTGAACAGATAATAGACAAAAGGACTACAGTGGCAACATCATTTGGCAACTGAGAGGCATCAACTCGTGATACCGGTAACTGGGGGATCAGATCAGTTATTCCACTACACCTGAGGGACAAAAACACAAACTTCCCCCAAAAAATGAAGGAGCCAATACAATATGAGTCAGAGTAGTTAGAGACCTCATTTGCAAGATGGCATATATCTTGAGAATCTTTTTCAGAAAACCACCCACTCTGACTAGCACTCTACAAGTCATTGCCAAGTCAAAGGTGTAAATATCCTCATTAACATGCCTAAACTCTAGAATAAGAGTGGAGAAAATAATGCTCTCCATCATTGTCATAGCCTGGGCCGCAAAAATTCAAATCAAGACTAGGCCGCAAAAATAATTTATTCATATTAGTTTTTATAGTTCAAACTTAAGTACGTAACACATAAATTGAGTTTTAATAGATTTGGGATGAGCGTAGTTGGTGACCATGATTCCATAAAGTTGACCCGATGAAGTATCACAATTAAATGGTTGCACTTAGGTTATGAGATATGAGTTATTACAGCTTTAAAAAGTATCAGTTACTATGAGATAAAAGTTGTGACAGCCTTAGAAGAAGTATCAGTTATTGAATCTGTAATCTGTTAAGAAGATGTCATTTGAGAATGATTTTGTGAAGGGTATTCCAGATTACCTTTGCAGAAGCCATTAGAACCATTATAGCAATTTCCATAGTAGGGTCATATTTTCGTTGGCAGACCTAAAAAATGTAAATTGGTTTAGCCAGAAATAGATATTTTAGTGAGTAATGTTTCAGATGCACAAGGTAGTATAAGATACCAATAGAAAGGGCAATTTAAATCCAAGGGATGTGACTTCAGAGAAGCTAAGTTTTTAGTTTGGTAAGCTTGGTACTTAATGGGAATAGGTTATTAATTTCCTTATGACCTTAATTGACTTTATATATTGAAGAAATGAACAGATTTTTTATTTGACTAAACTTTGTTATACTTTATTATGATTTATGAGAATAGCTTAACTACATACATAAGTTTATTCAACCAAACTACGATAATGTAGGACCTTTTATTGAACCATTGCTCACTAGGTCACTGTTTGCATGGGGAAAATGACTAAGGATATATACATGGGGAAAATTACTTTCCTTTTCCAATGTTCACCAGGCAAAAAAAATTCTGTGATTCTTGATATGCATGGGGAAAATGACTTTCTTTTTACATATACATTGGGAATGCCTCTTATTATAAAAGAGAAAATAATTTTCCTGAATCAGATTTATTTTGTCTATTTATACCAGTTAAACATTACATTTTGCACATGCACAGAACATTTAATTTTCTAGGAAAATTTTTTCAACGGATAGATTTTCTACAAAATATTTTGGATGGAAACTCCAGAATTCAAACAGAGCTTTGGTCTAATCTTTTATCTTTTCATTTTAGTATGACGTTAGTATCTATAAACATACAGCAAGAACAATTTTGATTTCCATCCTACATTACAAATTACCTGTTTAAAAAGTGAAGGCAACTCTGGCGCTTTAGTTGGGACTTTCTTACTTGCAATGGAAAAATCAATGTGTCTGCAAATGGCAGACCATCCAATCAGCAATGCTTAATATGATGCTGGAAACAATGAATAAACTATATCTGACCTTAAAACTCTCTCTCACGGTAGAAGAGAGTACTTAAGTCCAAACAAAAATATCTGATATGGAACAGAAACATAACTAAACGATAATATAATCTAGTTTATACACCACCGCTAGAGCGTCGTAACAAAATTAAATTCTATGGAGTCAGCAAGTATCTATGCATGCTAAAGATAACATATTAAAAATAAAGTGAACTGTGACTGTAATGCTGGTTTCCTAGGGGTGGTGCACAGATAAATGAAGAGTCTGGCTACATAATATCAGGCACTAGTACTCTCTATACATCACAGTAAAAAAGGAACATGGAAAAAACGATTCAGTCCAATTTTAGCCCTCATGTTTGCTCCTTTCACAATTAAACAATAGATGATAGATTTGCACCACATTTCTAAATCATTCTTGTGCTGTGGCAACCTGATTCTTAAGTCTTGACAGATACCCAGACAGGTATGATATAGAGCAGCACAAATAACTTTAAAAAGGTGTTCTTTTCTTGTTGTACAGGTGTGACAAAACAACCTCCAAAGGCCAGGAGGGCAACTTATAACTTATAAAGTTATACCAATACCAAACATTATTAATACGTGCTTTGGCTAAATAAACCACAAAAGGTATAAAAAAAACTAAAAAGTGAATGACTTCTGATCCACACGGTGAAATGAATATTCTTCCAAGTGAAATCTTGGTATAAAAAGGGAAAACTTTCTTAATAAAACCAGGAATAATCTTGCAAATATAAAGACAAACTCTTCCATCTGTCCATTTCTAACCCGCTAAAACTAGAAACCAACTTTGAACTCGTTATATTATCCAGTAACTACTACATTTAAGCTTCACAGCAACTTAATAGAGGTATTATAACTTATAAGAAGAGCTGGTTTGTTTGACAAAAAGGGGTCGGTGTTGATAAAGTGATAAACAGAACTTTATAACTCTCCTTTCCGATGTACAAAAAAAAGAACTTTATAACTCTACACGAATGTAACAGGAAAAGGAAATGGGATTTGATCGGGTAAAGAAAAGCACCTAGCAAGGGAGATGCATAATTCGAAGAACTCTGAGATGCCACTCTCCGGTTGAGCGCGGACATGGAGAGCTAACATGTCGAAGACCATGGAGAAACGGAACGAGTTCATAACGGAAGCGTTCATGGCATTGTCTCTGCTTCCGCCCCGGCCGCCGCACCCGGCCAAGGTAGCCGCGAGAAGAGCGTATGAATTTTCCGTCATTCACCGCCTCCTTGTCTATTTGCCCTTATCTGCACCAGAGCAGTAGCGCCTGCCGGGATTGTTTCTTCATCACCTTCTGCTCACGGTCTGTCGACCGACCAAGAGTCAGTATAAAAGACAAATTCTATAAGCTGTGAATGTTCCTCAAAACATGAAATGAGCTGTCAAAATAATCAATTAATAATTGAGAATTTCACGCAAATATAATAGAACCACACACATTATTGAAAATTTTAATTTTTACCTGAACTAATTTCTGTTCGAGATGGACTAGTCCAAACCAGAACAATTGGACTAAACTTAAATATACAAGATTTGATCGGATCAGAATTGGATATTTATAAAATCTACATGAACCAAACATCTACCTGATCAATTCAGACCAGAATGTCGATATTTATAAAAGGTCTGATGTGATGTGATGATGAGTTGCTCCGGTATCAAGGAGCCAATTGGTATTAGGACCTTGATTCTGACTGAAGACGTTATGAGCACTTGGAGGATGACCTTTATAGGAGTAGTAAGTTCTGGCAGTGTGAGTCGTGTGACCAAATTTATCACAAAGTTGACACTGAGGAGAAGCACCGGAAGAGGACTCGTTGAAAGAACCTAAAATGCCATTGTGAGGTCCAAAACCTGGTGATGAGGCATATGGGAGTGCCGACCACGGCCGCCATGCCAAGAGAGTTGGTGTGGCGTTGAAAGTATTGACCAATAACGGGCACATCAAAGGTGGTCGCCGAAGATTCACCAAAGAGTAATATTGCATCTTGCAAATAATGACGAAGGTCTTCAAAGGTGGGTGGGGTGGGCTGCACACGTAAGGCTCCAATCAGGTCTTTGAATTCACCACCAAGACCACCAATGACATAGGATGCAATTTGGCCGTCACTAGGTGGATGCCCAATGGTGACGAGATCCTCAATAAGGGTCCGCATGGTAGTCATGTATTTAGTAACAATTTTACCTATTTTCTTGGTGTTCATGAGGGCCGAAAGAAGAGAAAGCAGTAGAAGTATTGGCAAAGCTGGACTCAAGTTTTTGCAGTGCATCAGCCGAAGTGGTGCATGAATTAATAATTGGGTAAATATTGTTGGTGACACTAGACTGCAAGTCTGCAATGCTAGGAGAACAAGTCGATCCTAATGAGTCCAAAAATTGTAGTTGGCATTGCCGGAGTCGGGACAAGGATTTGTGCCATTGACATAGCCAAGAAATCATAACCAAAAAGTAAATTGGTCATTTGAGATTTCCAAGAAGAATAATTAAACCCATCTTTAGATAACTTGACTGGAATTTGAGAAGAGGCATTGAGAGAAATTAGTTGGGTGTGGTGTCGGTGGAAATAAGATTACTGGAGGGGGAGGAGGGGGAAGCAGAGGGAGACGACATCGTGAAAAAATGGACCTTGATCAATCTTAGATGATTGAAGGTTGTGATACCATGAGAGAGTTTGGTTTAATGAGGCTTAAATCCTTTGATCTATGAGCCGTGTGTGTGTGTGTATTGAATGTGGAGCATGTGTAGCTCATACGATTACAGGTGATAAGAATAATGTGAAGATAATAAATACAACTAACACTCTATAAATAATTACAAGCAACATTTTAATCATGGGATAAATACCTATATGTGACTAAAAGTCATTACAATTCCCAAAATATGACCAAGTATGTTTATTTCCCAACATATGACTCTAATAGGATTAAAACAACTACATCCATGAGACCAATGAGCATTGAAAGACAAAATTGACCTCAAACATACGTGCATATAGTGGGTTCCAGGATAGGAAAGAATTCAAGCTCCAATAATAAATGCATAATTAAAGATGGAGAGAAAGTAGGCACATCCCACATTTTTAGGAGCAAAATTAATGAATTATCAAACCAAAATTTATACGAAATAATTACATAAATATGACCAAAATAAAGATGATTTACAAAAATATGATTAGTTACTGGAGTAGTAATGAAATCATAGTAATTCATGTTCAAGTTTTGGACTTAAGTTACCACAACACTACGTTGTAGTAAAGAATAATCATATTTATGTAAATAAGTTTTATTTTAGTAATATTCTTGTAAAAACCCCAATTTATACCTACATTCCAATTACAATCGTGTGCCCCAAAAAGTAAAAAAATGAATAAAAAGAGCACACAATCGATGAGAATTAGAGGTCTGAAGAAACGAAGGATTTTTTCCCCTCGTACTTATGCTTTGAGTGCAGTGATTTTTACAATATTGCACTAAATAGTGTGATGTTTAACTTATATTTTGTGGATTGTGTTGTGCAATTATTTAATTTATAAAATACATGCAGTAAATTAGTTTTTATTACATTTTTATGATTAAAAAGAATGAACATGTGATTATTTCATACATTATTGGTTGTTTATGTAATGCATTAATATGGACAGTAAGTGCATTACATTGCACTAAATGAACCAATTCATTGCACTAAATGAAAAAAAACGTCTTCATTCCATAAATATTACATAAATTATCAATAATAAATTGTGATTCAGTGCATTATACAAACTATCAGTAATACACTCGTGCACTAAATAAACTAAATCATTGCACTAAATGTAAAAATCGTCTTCAACCCATAATTTCAGTGCATTACATAAACTATCAGCAAAACATTGGAATTCAGTGCATTATACAAACTATCAGCCATACACTCATCAAACTTCAAAAAAATCTTGATTTAAAGGCTACGAGCTAGGCACCACCTCGGTTTGTTGTTTTCTTCATTCTTATCAACACACTTTCATCTACAAACTATGATGGGCACTTACCCTTTCGGCTAACCCATTTGTATATGCATGTAGCTCCTCAATTATCTATCTTATTCCATTTCCCATAAAACACATTTTCTTTTCTGATTTACGATGAAGTCTTCTTCTACAAAAGTTCCTCTCAGCTCTACTAGCTAGCTTCCGGCGGTGTCTCAACTTCCGCCGGTAAGTTCTTCCATGATGTGCAGGCCACATACGATTATGACGACCAACACGTAAACACTATGATGGGCGGGTAGCTTAATTATAATTAGATCAGAAGAGAAAGAATGAGACGGTAGCATGATTATAATAAGAATTTTCAATTACCTATTTTAGTGAGATCATTGATGAGTGTAAAATAATTATGGTAGCAATATTCATAAAATAAGGAGCTATTAATTCTTTCATGTTTACCGTACAAAGGCAACTCTCTAATCAAATAATAATCTATTAATATGAACCTTTAGCCCCCATAGTATAAAATCTTCAAGCATGAGCCCATGCAATATTGATGACTAGCTACTTCACCGTTGCTTGTCTAGATACATGAGAATTTTGGATAATACAAAGTCTTCTATTTTCCAAACATGGGGCGACTAGTATGTAGGCATGAGAGTATTTCTTGTTAAGAAAATACTCTTATGTCTTTCAAATGTGACTCTACTTTCTAAATTAAAAGTGTTTAGTGGATTTTGAGAGTTTAATGATTTAAGAGAATATATATTGGATTTACTTAGGCAAGCCAAGATGCTATATAGAGTTGGCTTTGTATATACAAAAGAGTAGTCTCATATTTCAAGTGTTAAAATGACTTTAAGGCACCTTTCTTTTTGCTTAAGGTAGAGTGCATGTGTGCATATATAAATAGCATCAAACAAAGAAGACATGATTCTAGCCTATTCAATTCGAATGGTGAAATCTTTTTACTCTAGCGGTCCTATCTCCATAGAACGAATTCTCATTAAGTAATTTTTGTAAATACATATTATTGCTCCTACTCTAGCTTGATCACAAAGCAAAGATAGTCTAGACTTGATGTCTCGATGATTTTGCATTAACTATGAACAACATGTTACTGTAAGTTACTCTTACCTTCTTCTAAAACTGAAGATGTTTTTTTTTTAACTTGAAGATTTGATCACTGAGCTTTTAGTTTTGACCACAAAGGCGATCTATACTTAATGATTTTGTCACGAACAACAACATGTTATAGAGATCGTCAATTGATTGAGTTGGGTCATACCATCCCAAAACTAATGGGTATGGATTGGGTCGTGTTGGTCTCAACATAAAAAAGTAATTAATGGGACGGGTCGGGCTTTTTTTAAAAATTGTAACCCAAGCCCGTTTATTCTTAAGGGGGCCAGGTTGGTCTGGTCCACATGTCAAAAATAGGGCTAGGGCTAGATGGGTTTACAAATAAAATATTATTTTTTATGCAACACATAATACAATCAATCAACTAAGTGTGTGAAAAAGAAATCATTACTTCAAAAATTTACTAATAAAAATATAGTTCAAACTATCTATATATAGCTTATAAGTTTTTGCAAGTACATTCTTGAATTGGGATGCACAAGTACCACATTTACTTTTTTTTTTTTTTACCCCAGAAGGTCAACCACCAAAATCAGTGGGGTAAATGCCGGGGGTCATTTACCAGAGTATTATTAATAATATAGGAATACAAACGGGGGGACCGAACCTTACCCGAAGCAAAAAACTCAAAAATTAGTCTTTAACAGAAGGAATGCCATAAAAATCTAACCAAAAATGTCGTTTAGCAAATAAAGGAATTTGGTCAAGACTAAAAAATTCCACTGGGCTTGAGACTTCTTCTTGAGCCAGAAAATGTGCGACCCAGTTGCCTTCACGCCTAACATGCCCAAAAGACACACGTTGCCTAATTCGCATCTGTAGAGTTTCCTGAATATCATCCGCCCATCTTCTACCTTCCTTGCCATCGATAAGCTCCAGAGCATTGAGAGAATCGGTTTCCACATGGAAACCCTCAAAACCATTGTCAACAGCCCACTTTGAGGCATAGAAGATCGCACGCAACTCAGCATCCAAAGGGGATCGAGCTTGTAGGGGGAAACTGGTGGCCACAACGAATCTTCCACTTTTATCTCTCAAGATAGCGCCTCCATAAGCTCTGCCATGAAGGTAACTTGCATCCACATTTAGCTTCCAAGTACAATTTGGTTTGTTCCATCGAATAATTTTGGGCGCAGAACCATTGGGTTTAAAGTTCCTCGGAATAAAGCCTTCTGCTCTAAGAATCACCCCCGTGTCCTTG